CGCTATAGATCGACAGTCAATCCATCGAGGCTGCTCAGAGGTTCGCGTTGATGCGATTGTTACTAGATTGGGAGAGGGCAGCGGAATGTTGGGGTTCTCGTCCACTGTGTCATGAGTCGCGTACTTTCTTTTGACGTTCTGGGCGGTCTTGTACTCTCAAGAATCGAAGGAAAAGAAATGCGTTTCGCCGCATCCCCTGCGCTTATCAATCGTTGCCTTTGATCGAATGACTGGCCAGGTTCGATGTGATGGCCGGCCACAGCGCAGACATGAACGAGCATGGCGCGTACGCGACTCGATCGTCAAAGAGGACTACGCGTTGATCGAGAGAAGGGTAAAGTGCACCGCGGAACCCTTCGGAAGACAAGTGTGATTTCCAGCGCCTTCACGTGTAGGTGTGATATCGCTCGTCTTTCAAACGAGACGAGTTGGCGGGTGATGGACCTGTCTCACGTCCCACCCTGCTCCTGCTACTGCTCCTGCAGCTGCCAGTGCACTTTTGCACGAGGCGCCAGGAACGCTTCACTCATTCGTGGTGACCTGTACCTGTACCCTGCAACTTCGAGCTCACGCCTCTCACACACGCTCGCGATTCCTGTCTTGCACCGTTTCACGTCCCCACACAAGGAGCGCGAAGGGTGTGCAGATCCAAGGAGTCCCACTCACCAAACGTTCCCACGCTCAGAAAGCATCAGCTGTAGAGCCACTTCAAGCCACGCGATCTGCACCACCGTGGCCCAAGTAAGAGCAGGCCATCACTCTTCTGACTCTGACTCTGACTCTAACTCTAACTCTCGCCGTGAAGTTGAGCTTGTATTGCCAATCGACGGAGAGTGTGCAAGTGCGACGCACCCTGACAACAACGCCCTCTTCAGCTTTAAGTCGCGTGCGACCAGAAGTCGGCCCAGCTTGCCGGAGCCCCACACTTGCGGGTGAGTGATCAGACGAGTCACGAGTGTCGAGCTAATTTAAAGCTCATTGGAGGTGCCATGCCCCATTTTGTCCTTGATTCTACATTCACGATTATCATCCGCCTTGATCGAGCGAAACACTGAAGAGCAACAGCATCTAAACATCGAGTCGACCACTGGCTATATAACAGCCATTCATCCACCAGCACGCTTTCTTGGCGCCCTCTCGTTCGAGGCTGCCAGTACTGCAGATGCAATTGGACAAAGTCGCACAAGCACTACTCGATCAACCTACGACGAAAGCACATCAGTTCGATCGCGTCGCACAAAGATGGCGCTATGCCTTCTGAACACCTCCCCGTCAGAGGATGCTGTTGTAACACACACGTCCGCTGCTGCTGAACACGTCGCGGAAACGACGAGGCACCAGAGTCGTCGATGCTCCCTCACCATCCTCGCGCCAGCATTGCAAGATCGTCCTTCTGCG